ATTGTGAAACTAATAGATTCTTATGTTCACCACCATGAGGACAATCAAAGAGACATACCCAAAGAAAAACATGACGAAGAAGACCTTCAGGATTATTTGAAGATAATTCTTTATAATGTAAAATAAGTTTTAATTCTTCAGTTGTAATTCCGTCGTAAGATTTTATTGTTCCTATTCCTAATTTTTTCATCTCTTTTAATATTTTATCAAGAGTTGCAAAATATTAGGAAAATCGGTTTTATTCAATAGATTATATTGCCAGTCAGATTTTGTGTCATGTAGATATCGACTAATTGAAGCCATGACATTTTTCAAAGAAGATTATGAATAATAATCGCCTTTTAAAGTACGAACTTCACAATCGATTCAAGTGTATAATTGTATCCAACATTAATGTGATTTCACCAAGCATTTATAATTTTAACCCACTTGTTGATACACTTAATAGTATTTTGAGAAATTCAATTTTTTTGTATTTTTTCCAGTTCGGCTATAGTTGGTTTAGAATAATTCATGTTTAAAAATAAAAAAAATAAAATAAAAAGTATTAAATAAAAAAAAAATCAAAAAGCTTAAAGTAAAAAAAAATGACGTATGTCAGATAAATGAGTTATTCAGCATTTGATACCGAATAACTTTATCATCTAAAGATGGTTTATGTATTTGGCAACTGATTTGATTGATGATTCTGGGCTTCTTTGGAGCTCAGAATTAACCAATCAAATTGCGTTTGCCTGATACTACAGTTATTTGGCACTGCATGCTAAATAACTAATTAATATTACTTTATATTTTATAACAGTAAAATAATAATAATAATAATAATAATATAAAATAATAATAATAAAGTAAACTTATGAGTTAATTGCCTTTTTAGATAACCTTTGTAATATGCAATTGATGTTTGCAAATTTTAAGCTATATTATCTATTGTTATTTTTTGTAACAACAGTATTATACTAATGTATTATACAATATAACAAAAAAATATTTATGATTTTTTGATATTATTTTAAAATTTAATTTACTAAAAATGCTGATTTAATATTTTTAATTAATAACTTAATAAAATATAATTAAGATTAGAAAATTAAAACCTGATAAAAAAAGTGACATTATTGCTCTATGAAAAAATAATATGAAAATTGTAGAAATTATAAGAAAAATAAAAATATCAGATAATATTGTTTAATTAATTATTAAAAATATATAGAAACAGATACTATAAATAATTTATTATGTTCTGGATGTCTTCTTGCAGCTATATAAAAACACAAGTGATTACTTATTCATAATACAATAAAAAATAAATATGCTTTATTATATCAATTAGTAATTGAAATTGGTTTTGAAGTTTTAAAGACAACAATTTGCAATTATCTTCATGAAAGTGAAATTAGTTTTTATATTGTATTTAAAAAGCTATATATTTCAAAAGTAAATGAATAAACTGATGTAAAGAACATATTAACTGAAATATTGATTTGAATAGAACAATATTTTTTGGTTTGACAAATCTAATATAGAAATAAATCAAAGTTTCCAGTATAAACTAATATAGCAAAAATCTAATAAGCAATACAATTTTGACTGTTTAAAACCTATTTTCAAGAGTAGTTACAAATCAATTATAATTTGATATTGTTTTGTAGGCAATTAACTAGGACCATTAATAATTTGTAAAAAAGGAAACTTCAATTCTAATAATTATATTGAAATTCTTCAAAATAATCTTAAAGAATTCAAAAAATGAATGGCATATTACTCTTATTCATCAAGATGATAATGCAAAAATTCACACAAGCCAAAAAACTTACAAATGGAAAGAAGAGAATAATGTCAAGTCCTTACCATGGCTCAATCACCAGATCTCAACCCTTTGGAGAATCTTTGGAAAATTCTTAAAGATCAAACTCAATGCTGCAAGTTATTTCCAACAACAATATTGTCTAATTTAGTTGAAAGTATGCCAAAATGGGTTAAAATGGTAATTAAGTCAAAAAGAAGGCATATTAAATATTAAAGTTAAATAAAAAAAAAATTTTTTTTACATGTTTATTAAATAAAGTCATAAAGAAAAACATTAAGTTGGAAAAAAAATATGAGCTAATATACTGTATATATTTTTTATATACTAAGAAAAAAGCAATTTGCAATCGAATACTTTTTTAACCTACTGTACTTACAGTACATCGAGAAAACGTTTAAATGAGCTTCATTGACTTTCTTTGTCGTCATTCAGCCCAAATGCCTATAGTTAAAAGAAACTTTGTAAATGCATAAATTTTTGGTAAAACACACACTATCGTGCTGCATGTTATTTTTTTGAACAACTTTATGAAATATCGGGAAAAGTTTTTAAAAAAACCTTAGACATTTTTGGTTTACTGGTGTTGTGGGAACAATAGGGATGGGAATGCAACATTGAAGCGCGACGCGTAATAATAGTAGCAATGATGGTGGAATGATGTAATAATTGGTAATAACATGTAATGGAAGGGACGCGTCAACAAAGCATATAAATAAGATAGTTTTACGTAGTTTGTAGGTCAGTTCGAGTTTAACTTTGAGCTTTGAGTTTAAAGTTTTAGAACGCTCTTTACTTTCTCTCGCTTTATTCAATAAATGCTACAACTTTGTACAATCATATTTACATTCCTTAAAGTATAAGTCTACGCCACTACAGTAAAGTAAACGACTTTGTGAGATGTGACATTACGTTTTTGCACCGTGAAGAGTGTCACTTGTAATCTTGAGACGCGCTTAGAGAGAAAGACGGTCAAGAAGAGATTAGTAAGTGCGAATGTCGGGCAAATTGTAACCGCCTCAGAGATAAAGTCTTACCTTATTTAGTGCCGAAATCCAAGCGTTCGGATTTCGTCACGCGAAGAGTGAACCGTTTAGCGACAGACTCGCCGGTGACAACACCAGCCAAAATGCACATATAACTGAAAGAGGAAACTTCGTAAATGTATGAATTTTTGGTGGTACTTACGTTATCATCCCGTACGTAACAGACCTATATTTTGCATTATCCTTTGTTGTACAAAAAAACATATAATTACAAAAGAATGCGTACGGATTAGTTATTAAGGCCAACCTTTTCCTCAAAATATTAAAAAATTTTAAATGAATATATTCGACACACATTACAAAAAGGGTATGGCCCATTTAAAAAATGCCAGAATACAAGAATCCGATGGTCATCCAAAGGGAGCGATAGATGCCTATCAAAAGGCTATTAAAGAATTCAAGGCCCATGGATCCTCCTTATTTCATGACGTAAAAAGGCACTTAGCCAAAGCTTATTTAGAATGTGGTGACGTCTACAAAAGTTTGGGAGAAACGGATAATGCTAATACTTTCTATAAAGAAGCTCAAAAGTATGGGCCGAAATACAGTGAGGCATTGACCAAATTTTCAACATCAAAAAACCCCTTGCAAACAGAAAACATACCCATAAAAAACTCATCTACTGGTTCAAATGTATCCACGAACTCCTTGATAGAGAAAACGACGCCGACCTTTTTACCAAAACTAGAGTTTTTTATTCAAGATCCTTTAGTAACATCCTCACCACAGTCGAAGATAAATGACATAAATAATATTAGCAGCACTCAAGACCTGGCCTATTATTTGCAACCTAATAATCATACTCAGGAACAAGCTCCACAACTAATAAAATTAGCTCAAGATATTGTTCAACTGTTTGCTCATAAAAAACCCAAAACCCAAAAGGTAATCAACGAAGTTGTCATCTTAGCATCCATTCCGAACGAAGAAATTTATAAAGATTTGTTAGAGCTAAGCATTAATGAAATCAAAAATTCAACATTACAACATTCCAAACATTTGTTTTGCTTAACTCGAGTGATTCAAAACATGCCTAATTTAATTGTCGGAAAAGTTAGTACCGGGAATTTAGTGGCAATATTAAAAATATTACATAAAAATCT